GGGGGGGGGGGGGGGGGGCGCAAACAAAGAAGTCTCCGGCAACGGCGTGTGGCCTATTATATAGGTACTAACCTTGGTCGAGCTCGGCGCAGCCGCCGCCGACGCCTTCTGGTCGGAAGATCGAAACCCTTCCGGACGAACGATATCCGCCCAGGAGGTAGTCCTCTTCTGGGGCGCGGGCGGCGGTGGCGACGACGACGACGACGACGAGGCGTTATTCGCGGAGACCTGCTGCTGCCGCGACTGCTGCTGCCCTCCTCCTACCGCTGCCGTCGCCGTTGAGGACGGCGCCGTGGGCAAGGCGGGCATGTCACCGCCGACCCCCGCCGCGCCGCCCATGCCAGCAGACGACATCGACGAGGCGTTGTTGTTGGCACCCCCCGTTCCCTAGTCGCCAAGCGAGCAAAGTAGGGGGAGCGGGGGGACGTCCACGGGAACGATTAGAAAACAGGGATGCATATGACCCTCAACCCACTCACCTAAGAAAAAAAATGGTCTCACTCGAGGAGAGCTCAGAACAACTTCCAAAAAAAAAACAAGCCCGATGCCGCACTGAATACTACACAAGAATGACCTCGCGTGCAACGGATCGAAACGTACCTGTGAAGACCCGGTGTCCATTCCCCCGCCTACCACCTCTCCGCCGCCCGCGACTCCGCTTGCAGGGGTGAAGTTGGAGGGCACGAAGCCGTTCGCCTCCGCGGAGAGGCCGGAGAAGCCCCCGCCCCCGCGCTCGCGCAAGCCTCCGTCGATCCACCCGCCACTAGGTTGTTGCTGCTGCTGCTGATGCTGCTGCTGCTGCTGCCGCGGCTGTTGGGTCTGGGCTGACCCATCTCCCTGAAATGGGGTCGACGGATAGATAGAGGGTTAGGAGCGATTTCGATTGCCCAATGCATACACATTTTTCTCAGGTAGGGTTTCAATTTCGTTCATTGGGGTAGGCTGGGCTATTATATTCTATTCTCTTGTATTCTGTTCTATTCTATTCTACTCTATTCTCTGTTCTATTCTATTCTACTCTATTCTTTTCGAGTCAACAACAGATCACCCGTGTGAGCTGTTCAAGCTTGGGAAACGTAACCGATGATTCACGCCAACACAGTGCTTGAATTGAAGTACGTCTTGCATCACGCCTTCATAGCACTATGCACACGACAATGCTCTGGTGAGCCCACTCCGGGGGGGGGGGACGCGCCTTGCAGTCTGCATACTTGTGGTGTCTTTTCATGACTCACCCCCGCTACACTCCCGTACGTGTTCATGTAGGAGGTGTTCATCGGGGGCTGCTGGAGCTGGCCGTGGGGTAGCTGCGAGGCTTTGCTTGGGTAACCCCCCTGGTTGTAGGACTGTTGAAACGACTGGCCGTACTGAAAAGAGAGAGAGACCGGGGAGCGGGGTATGGCCAACGTGAACATGAGTCATGGCGGTTGAGCAGGGGTGGGGGGGGGTAGAACCAACATGCACACAAGGGATATAGCGGCAAGGCACAGGTAGCTACAACAATCGTTGATCCGGTGCTCGCAACATCGCAACACCGTTCGGCAGCACGGGAGACATCACTCAACTGATGGGACCCCCTCACCACTTGTAGTGAAGTCAGATATATTCCAAACGACGGAACACCCCGCCGTACGTAGCCAGGCATGCACTTTTTGACCATCAGCTCAGACGACCGCGACCCATGACCTCCGCGTTGCGTCCTAATCTTGACAAATTAAGGTGCTCCGTGACCATGCATTGTCCGTTTCCGAGATACAGAAGCTAATCTACCACCTTCTCCAGCAAGTCTCCGTCCAAAACATTCCGGTGGCTCAGGGCCACGCCCACTCACTGCGTGCCGTCCTCTCGTCAAAACCCTCTTGAGTTCACCCGATAGGAAACACCGCATCCTGGAGGCAATCCCATCCGTGCTATTGTACTTCCAAGTCGCAACGACCAACTACGATTGCGCCGACAAATCGATCCGTCCAAAGCTTGTCTCCCCCAAATTTGCACCACCCCGAGTTGTGTGCTGGCACTACACGACCAACACCCGATGTGGACGGCACGCACGTACCCTCTACACAGCAACCTAGCTGCAGACATGTCAACAACCTCACCATGTTCATGCCCGGGAACTGAGGGTAACCGTATCCGCCACCACCGACTCCGTACCCTTGCTGCTGCAGCTGCTGCTGCTGCAGCTGCTGCTGCTGCCCCGCTCCTCCGCCACTGAAGCCGCCTCCGATGCCCCCCTGCTGCTGGCCGCCAAACACATACCCGGAGCCCCCGTTGTTGTAACCGTCGTTGTGGCCCTGGGCCGGTGCGGCGGGACCCTGCTGGGAATGTTCCGCGGACTGGTCCTGGGGCTGGTCCGGGAACTGGCCGGTCGAGGGGTCCGCGCCCGTCGNGGGGGGGGGGGGGGGTGCTTAGCGACGCGCTTCTCTCGATGCCATGGACAGGGGCGAAGGTTGCCAAAAGAATGGTGCAGAAAACGTAGACCAAAAGACAAGGCAATTGTTAACGACTACACAACCAGCAGCGGGTCCGGCCGGCTGTTGGTCTAGCCAACCTGAATCTTCTCCTTTTGACACCGTGATGGCTAAACGCCGACGTTTTCGGGTGGCTCCATGTAACAAAAGCAACGCCTCATTTCAAAGTCGGTGGAGCGAAAACTGAAGCAACCAATGCTAATGACACCTCGGCTTCGGGTGGAGCTTTATTTCGACGAATTCCCCCACTTGGCCCCCTGCGTAGAGCATTTACGGGCCCCCCCAAGACGCACGTGCAGCAATGTTATGTAACGCGAAAGTGCGAGACACCACACACACCCTGAACAGTGGCCGTTGGTCACAACCCGCTCGATTGCTTCACGACCAACGGTCTGCGAAGAACGACCGATACGATCAACCAAAGCTCTCAACGACATGTTTCCAACAACGCCCGTTTCGGAATTGAGCGCACCCTTCAATCGGGTCACGAGAGTTTGTCTACGGCGGTGGGTGCGTTGACTCGCGCTTTTACGGCAGCATGACCGTGGGCCTACCCTACGGAGTGGCCCCTTCAAAGGGAATGCGACTATTTGTCGGACCCGTGCAACCGACGCATGTTCATTGGTCAGCATATTGCGCGGTCGATGATCATACCTACAATACAGTGTACTCAATCAATCTTTACTCGAACAAGTACGAACTGCTGTGACTGCATGAACATTTCCAACACTGAGCAATAGCAGCTGGTCGCAACAGTTCATTTTTCGTTCCTGACTTCCCGAGACTCGCGATGGCTCACGGTTCCGGGAGAAGAAACCGCACACGCACCATACCTATTGCGATGCCATGCTAATAATTAATCCTTCAGAAAAACACACCCACCCACACGTTTTCCACTCGGCCCTCGCCCGTAGACAAAATATCGTTCTTTTCCGAATCAAACATGATTTAGTCTATTGAATAGCACCGTCGCTCCTATTGTATAGTGCCGCTAGCTTCCACACGGCCTGAAATCTACTACTGAGAGCTCGAACTAACATTGTACTTGAAATGTACCTTCTGGCATACGTTCTTCGATTGAAATTCCATGGGAAGGTAATTCCAGGGTAAGGAAGGATGAGGTACACCGCTGTAAATTACGATGCTGTAACATCTAGTTCCCCTTTCTCAAGTTCGACGTAACACTGTTTGCGGTGTGATATGGACAGGAGCAACCACATAATAAGCATACATGTCCGTTTTCCCGAGCTAGGCTGGTAGTCACTCGCAAGTGTACACCGATATTGATTCGCATTTGAGCGTGCGGTTCTTCCAGTTGGAATCCAAAGTACCGATAACCGGACTCCCTTGGCCTCTGAAAGGGACAAGCAACAGGCCAACAACCAACGAACAGGCTTGCCACTTGCCACGAACGATTGATTGGAACCTAAAAATGCGTTGCGCTTCAACTCCCGGCCTTCGACTTTCACAAATGCTGCTCTAACAAATCAATACGTATGTGAACGCAATCTACGTAGTAGCAGAAGGGTGTCTCTGTCTAGGCAACAGAAGTGCTCCAGGATTAGAGCACGGGGCAAGAAGCAGGGTAACTTCGGGGCAAACGCGGTGTGCATGCAGACGCATATGCATACGAGTGCTGTTGTATGCATAGCACGAACCGTCTCTCTCTTGCTGGATGATGCACGAGCGACGAAGATGACATGGAAGACATGGAAGCAAGCCTCTCACGAAGGAAACATATCAGAGGTTTGGTCACGTCTAAAGCAAGGCTTCAAGAACTGGAGATGTAAGACTGGAACATAACAAGAGTGCTCTTTGTCTGAACCACAGGGTCGCCAGAAGCAGTCGCACGTGACAGTAGCAGCCTGACAGTCTGACGCTAGAGGAGCAGAACAGCTTCATGAGCGAAGAGCGTGCATGCGCGAGTAGACTCAAACACACAAGCACCCAGAGGCGGGCCCCTCAAGAGACAATTTCGCCACTACAAATAACCTGAAAAACATGCACGTCGTGCACGGCGTATTCAATATAATACCACACACTGCTGGCATGTTCATGCAACTCGAGCGTTTTGCTTGCGTGCGTGAATTGTGGTTTGCAGACCTACAGCATTTCGGGACACTTGAACCCCACCGAAACCACCGAATACTTTCACGCTCATTTTGTCGAGAGAGGAGGTTAGTCTAGATCCCTTGCACAAAAATCTTTCTCGGCGAAAGGCAGCAACACTCTTGCTACACTGCTAGGACTCGTGTCTTTCGGGCTTGTTACAGGGACGGGCCAGCGATGAGGAGGGCGCCCAGCAGGCGACCCAGGGACGGCTGTGTTCAACTCGCAGTCTTCCCAGCGCTGGAAGAATTGTGGGCATCTCTCTCTCTCCCCCTGCTGCCCTCCCTTTCGAAAAAGTTCGGTCATGAAAGCATCGTGCAATTTTTGTGTTCGAGCAACATCAGTCTTACCTCCTCCTCCCTCAGTAACAACAGCAGCCACCGCCGTCTCCACCATTGCTTCTCCACCCGTCGACATTGTCTGCGCCACAAGCGCCGGAAGAAACAAGGCAGAGGTTAGAGGACAAACACATGCGCCTGGGTGGGAGAGCAACCACAGGAGAGCCGAGGGCTCTCGCTGCCTCTTTCCCCGCGTGCAACCCGCGCGTGTATGTGTTGGATACCTCCTTTTTCAGAGGCACAAGGTAGTGCGAAAACACATAAAACACCCAGCACACTCTGCTGCTCCGCCAAAAGCGCACACTACCTTGAGAGATGGTCCACGTGAAGCGCCGCGCTCGATCTGTAACAGCACAGCAGTAGCGTGCCGTGCTGCCGCTACTCTGCCTAGCCCTTCCTGTTGCAACAACAACGTCGCAAGTACTCGGATGGCCGCGTGTCTCCCTCTCCCTGGCTCTTTCACCCCTCGCTTTTTATCTCCAGGTCCCAGCTGAGAACGCAACAAGAGCACCAGCACGGTGGGTGGCAGCGCAGCGCTTCTCCTTTTCACTTGGATGCCGTGTTTGGGGCCCTTTCTCTCGCACTGCCTCCAGACTATCAGATTAATGTGCCCCGCTGCCTGCTGCTGCTCTGTTTCCGGCCGCAGAACCGTAGGGGGTGCGCAGACTCACTATATATTACATAGTATGCGTATATTGTATGCCGGTAACTGCAGCGTGCCCCCGCCGGCTAACCGCCGTCGCATGGTCGGCGAGCCACCTCAACAAGCCGTTCCGTGGTGGTCTCGAAGCCGATAACCCCCGGGGAAGAACGGCTTGCGGCCCGGTGCTTTCATCTAAGGGTGGGATAGTCCTAACTCGTGGCCTTACGCCATCGGAATCGCGGCGTTGCCCCGAGAGAGACGCGTTTGGCGAAGTAGCGTTGGGGTCAGCCAGGCGCTGATATTCTCGTTTCAACCATTGTTCTCGACGACAGCAAGGCAGGGGTCTAGTCCGCGTGTGAACGATGGGGTGTGCTTGCTCAAGCCCGAGGACGGGCTCGCTGTCGAGCACGTTTCTTCCTCAGGTGGGATGCGTCCTCGTTGTTGGTGCGTTAGTTGTCGGTGTGCGTGCTCTGCTGCGGTAGGATACTTGGGTCGAACACACGCGACATTTATGTCCAACCTGCTACCACTGCTGCTGCTGCTTCCTCCTGCTGTTGAATGTAAATACGCCGCGTTTTACGTAGCTTGATTACAACAGCAGTAGATCGACTACAGGTCGAATGCTGACGATGTCGGACAACGCCTCTGCGTCGAGAGCATGCCTCGTGCCGAGTCCCCCGCTGAATAGAACAGGAGGTTTCTCGGACCCTGCTGTTTGAGAGGGTGTGAACATTTAACAGGTCGTTAAATGTATCTGCTGACAGCGGGAACTGCTCACAACGCCGTGCACCAACCTTGCGACTGCGGCGTGTTTTTCATCGGCCTCTCACGTCCACTGCACCTGTGCAAGCAGCAGCAGCATGCAACATGCTATGCTACGCATATGTGTTCACTTCGTGCTTTCGAAATCTTTTCAAACACTGCATCCAGGGTAACTGGGACGAAACAGTAGCTGCCGTCCCAAACCATAGATACGCCCCACACGGGCATGGTTCCGACTTGTGCGAGAGAGACCCGGCCGAGAGTTTTGGGGGGGAGCGCGCAGAGCGTATACTGGGACATATCAACGCCTACCGAGGTGTTGCAGCAGTTGGTGCACCCGAGGTCGACGTTGTTGCAGTCGCGTCCCGTCGTGTTGTCATGGTTACAATTATGCATACCTGTCGGAGTTTACTCGAACAGCAATTCCTTCTTATAGAAGGGCCATTCACTGGCAACCATGCTGACTGCTCGATCTGGTTGCACAAGGGCGAAAGCGGCCATGTCCAACGGAGGTGTTGGCCCACGTGTACATGATGCCGGAAGTTCTTGCTGAGTAGAGGCGTCCTACACGCGTTGACCCTCCCCATGGGCGAAATTTCGAGAATCCTATAGAGAATACTATGCATACAATGGGTTCTGCAAAAAGCCAAAAGCTCTCGCCCACGCCCATGCTTTCGATTACTACACTACTTATTTCCACTCTTCCCCCGTGTAGTACTATGTAGCAACATCTGCTGCCGCGGCCACCNGTTATCCACCCCGCACAACAAGATCTACTCGACCACCATTATGGTTACCGTCAAAAAAAAAAAAA